CAGAGAGGACCTGCAATTATCTGAAAAAAAGGTTTCAAAGTCTTGTTAAAAAAGTTGAGAAGAAGAACAAGAAAGGAATTAGGGGCCCTGAAAAAAAGTCATTCGCTGAGTATTCAAAGCAGCACCAAAGCAGGATTAAAAATAAAATGAAAGAGGAATGTCAGGCCACTCTTACTTTCCTTGGATTGTACAATTTTACGGCCACCAAAGTTGAAGTGTTTAACACTGACACAGAACAGTATGACACTTTTAACTTGATCGATGAGGAACAAATGCAACAATCGGACACTGAGGGAAATGAAATAACTGACACCCAGGCTGATGACATCAACTACTGGATTTACATCAAGGACAAATTTAATATTTCCAATGATGCATGGCATGAAATGGCATTGAGATCTAAAACAATACCAAATACTTACAAGACAACTCGAGAGATAAATGAATTAAACCAGCAATGGAAAATAAGAGATACCCCTGGTCAAGCAGAACGGGTGCAAATCAGCTTCAAAGAAAGCCTCGAGGAACAAATTGCCAACTTACAAAGGAAGGGAGATTTAGAAGGAGATACCATTGGGGTGAAGATAAGTGGAGATGGCACAAACATTGGAAAAAAACTTAAGCTAGTAAATGTAACATGTACAATTTTAAATGAGAAAGAGGCTGCAATGAGTGAGAAGGGCAATTATGTTCTGGCTATACTCAAGACAAGTGAAAACTATGACAATCTGAAGGAAAGTCTGTCTGATTTAACACAAGAAATGTCGAAATTAAATAAGGTAACAGTCGAGGGTAAAACCTATAATATTGAATACTTTCTCGGTGGGGATTGGAAGTTCCTGGCATGTGTCTGTGGGTTGGGGGCTGCTAACCAAGACTACGCCTGTATCTGGTGCAAATGCCCTCGCAGCCAGAGATATGACATCCAAAGGGTATGGTCACTTTCTAACAGTGCTCAGGGTGCCAGATCACTGGAGGAAATTTCAAGCTTTGCCAAATCAAAAAAGTTTAATTGCAAAGGAACACCATTATTTAATTTCATACCAATTGATCATGTCATTATTGATACCTTACATTTATTTCTTCGCATATCAGATAATTTAACAGAACTTTTAATCAGGGAATTAAGGAGAAAGGATGCTTGTGAGAAGATAACAACATTTCCCAATGCTTTTTCTCGAGAGAAATTTAAACATATGGCAGCATATGAAACGTTTCTCAAAACCCTTAGCATTTCTTTTGAGTGGAGAATAAACAACGACACAAATAAACTGGACTATAGACATCTCACGGGTCCTGAAAAACTAAAGGTCAAGCAAAATATTCAGTTCTCTTCTCTTTTTCCTGGTTACAACAATTCAGAAAAGCTTCAGTTACTATGGGGTGGGTTCATGGACATCACTGAGTATTTATCTAAAACAAAACGACTCTAGAGAGCAAGCAACTTTTCTAAATTTTGGTGGCAACTTTTTGATATTTGAGCAACTTTAGAGCAACTTTTGGGTATATGGTGAAGGAACTTTTCCTGAATTTACTAACACAATCTATTCATGCCTTCTGGGGTGCACGGTTATTCTCCGGAAAGCCAACTCAGACTTATCACCAGTCCCTGATCCCTGCACATAAGTGTTTTGTAATGATGTCTTCTAGGCTTTGCGCTGATGGTAATATCAGAGAAATCAGGATCATCAGTTTGGCTACACAACCATTTTAAATCATCTACTAAAGGCAAGCATCGTTTTTGATGATTCAAGTGAGTACGACTGAAAATAATACACCCAACTGACTGCTACCGTGTCGGTTGAAATGTGGATGTGAGCTATCTCAGTCTTCCATGCCTCTTCCAAAAGAAATTTTCCCTAGGAACGCTTTCCTATTGATAACAACCAAGTGATTTGGTTTACATTCCTTTGTGTTTTATGTAATAATAATGATGATGATAAAAATAATAATAATAATAATAATAATAATAATAATAATATATAATTATATAAGTATATATATGGATAGATATTGACTAGGAAATTAGGTTAATTTGTGACATGGCCTCTAGGCTACGCTTAGCGCCTTACTGTGCCATTAGGATTCATAGCATTAAGATGTGTAACACTGCTGATATAATGATAATTACATCTTTGGCCAGGGTAAAGCCGTCAGCAATTGCTGATATCAATGAGTGTCCTAGTAAATTGTACAAAACAATACTGAAGTGAATAAAACTAAAGTGAAAGTAAAATATCAATCATAATTGAAGATAATTATTAAAAAATCTAAATATGTATATATGATGATGAAAACTCATTTAAAAAATTCTCCTTTTTTTTATTTAAATATTAATGGTGACTTAGTTGATTTTAATTCAGGTGACAAATCATTGCTTAGTGCATAGGACTCGATATTCCTGTCCTCAGGTGAGGGTTTGGTAGATCTTTAAAATATTTATAATTTCAGTGGTGAATATTTCACAGACATACCTTAGTATAATGGAAGTTAGCAAATTGGACAGATTTCTCTTAGCAGTAATGTATTAGGTTTAGTTTTCTCTTATACAGCATAATCAATTCAGAGCTTCAACATTCCCCTCCCAGGCAAAACCCCTGGCATTTAAACTTTTGAAGATTGGTTTGTTCAAGTTCCATGTCTACTTATGTGTAGGACAAGCAGCAACTTAAACATAAATACACATGCATCTATATTTCCAATAATTTACATTGCATGATTCCAAAAATAATTTATATTTTAACATAATAAGAAGATATTGGTTTGGTGGTGAGGCAAAACACTTTTGATTCTATGATATGGACAGTCATGAAAAACTTGAATCCTTGAAGCATTTTCATGCCACAGATATCTGGTTCAATTGTCGGAAACTCGATAAGAGCATAGGGCTTTTAATGTTTATTTTGTCACGAACTGCCAATCTTTGAAGGCGTTTATTTTTATCTGAATGGCAAAGATCATGTTATTCCACGTGTTATTGTGAAATAGACTACGTTTGTTATTTTTCTGTCAGCAATATCGTTTTAGCCAATCAACTCATGTTTATTCAAGGTGTGCCATAGATTAGGGTTCGCTCGATTGATGCCAGTGAGAGGTGGATTATTTTTTGTAGGAGAAAAGAAAAAACCGTGATTAAAAAACCTGAAAGTGAAGACTGAGGACGTTGTGGGCCTTCTTAACCTATTCCCCACACAATAGCATTTTAGCTTCACAACTGTGTGCCAAAATTTGACCCAAGTTAATCTTAACCCAAGGTTAGGTTTGGGAACTGTAGTGTTTCATCTTGTCTCATAAATTCACCCCACTGGTGTAACTAGATGCAAATGTATCTCATACCCTGCATTTTATTGAAGCCAGTGTCCAAATAGTTTGAATTAGAACCTAGGTCTCTCCCATGGGATGAGTTAAAGAATACTTCAAGGACTGTTTTACCCCCAAATACAGATCCCAAATGAAGTTTTAGAGTTCAGACAGAGAGAGATCCAGCCTAACACAGTTGTGAATAATGAGCTAAACAAAATATGCCAAATTGACCATTACATGCTAAGTTTAAGGGCCAAAGCAAATATATGAAAGTCACGCTTAACAAAAGGCTTTATCAGATATTGCGTGACACCCGCTGTGACCCGACTGACTAAAGAATCTGCGAATTTTAGAGGATTTCGCTATCTCTCTTTCGTTTAAAGAACGTTATCGTTCTGTTACCTCCAGATTCTAATGCTAAGAAGCTTAAAAAGCTGGAAGCATCCCTCGCAGATGAACAGGCGAAAAGGCTAAAGGTAGAAGAGTAACTCGAACAGGTACTTAAGAAGACAGAAAAAAAGGACAAAAACTACAAAAAGAAATTTAAGATTCTAGCGCGTAAAATTGCAAAACTGCAGAGAGATG